CATCCCATCCTGTCAGAAATTAATAAATGCGAGAGTGACGCACAAAAAAACAAAGGGAAGCAAACTTGAACAAACTATGTTTAACTATTATTATCACCTCTTGGACTATTAGGAACTGGGAATGATGGAATTACTTTCTAACGAGAGGTTACATGTGCTGGTGAAGATTAATGATACAAATGAGAGGTTTGCACTGACTGGCCTAAATGTTGAGTGTTGTTTTTGAACCCAAATAAGGACTAAATGTATGCTGTGTGTAATTTTACTGGTAACATATCAGAGACTGTAAAGGTCTGTATATGTTCAAATATGTTGTATTTATTTATTTATTTATTTATTTATTTATTCAATATAATCGCAGACGTTACAGTAGGCTATTTTGCATCATTCATCTGCAGATCAGATCATGTTCATAGAAATTTTAGTAATGATCATTTATACAAAAGTGTTTATGGGTATAAAGCATCTGTTTCGTGAGAAGTCCTTCTCGTATGATATGTAAACAACCTGTACAGCTTAACTGTAGACATTTTCTTGAGTGAGAATTAGGTTGACTGAAATATTCATATTTAGAGCTTTTAGTTCCAGGAAATGGCAGTTAGTTAGTAGTTTACAGAATCATTCAAAACACTATAATTCTAACTATAATATCAAGTGGTCTTGCAGTTTTTCTTCTGTAGCTGTATGTACATCGATGGATTAATTAGTTAACAAAGTTAATAAATTTAGCAATGAAAATGATTTTGCCTGACTCCTAAAGTTGTTTAAGCAGCTGTAAAGAGGATGTGATGTTGAGTGTTGAATATTGTTTTGGGACATTCTGTCAGTCTAAGTCTGTACTGTACATGTGCATACCGCTAACGGTGAAGAGCTGCCTTGTTAATTAACCCAGTCCTGGCACTGTTCACTTCAGAAGATAATTGCTTTGGTTCCCCAGAGTTTCGTTGGTTTGTTCCAATTAACAGTTCAAGAGCAGGTTCAAACAGCGTCCAATTAAGCCTGAAGGGTTCAGTGGCCTATACCTCACTCTGGTGAAGCGGAAACATGGGACGGTTATCACATTTGTGTAATGGGACTGTACAATAAAGCAAAAGAGCAGAGGCTTGCAGTAGTAACTTTTGCAGTAGTTTTGATAGATATTTTTGCTTTTCATGTAGCAAGAAATTTTATATTTCAAAATATACCTCTCATTTTTTGTAATTGTTTTCAAAATGGTGTTAAAATTGTAAAAGGATTTAAAACAGAGATTAGTTACAGGATGAAAGTTGCATCCTTTACTGGAATTCCTAAAATATTTAGGTTAAATAAAAAGGGGTTTAAGAAGATTGATCACAATAAAGTTCAAAGTTAAAATAGTTTTAGTTATTTCAATTTTTAATGATTAACATTTATTAAATAATTGTATTTTAACAAAAATAAACAATTTAATAAACAACATTGCCATATAAGAATAATAAAAATAATAATAATTCCTTACATTTATATAGCGCTTTTCTGGCCACTCAAAGCGCTTTACACATAGGGGGGAATCTCCTCATCCACCACCAGTGTGCAGCATCCCACTGGATGATGTGACGGCAGCCATTTTGCGCCAGAAAGCACACCACACACCACACACCACACACCAACTGATAGGTGGGGAGGAGACAGAGAGATGAAGCCAATTATGATACGGGTATGGTTAGGAGGCCATGATGGACTGAGTCCAGTTGGCAAATTTGGCCAGAATGCGAAAGACGGTCCAAAAGACGGTGCTCACTGAAAGTTTAGAGTCCCCATCACTATACTGGGGTATTACGACCTACACAGACTCCAGGTTGGGCGCCTCACTAACACCACTTCCGGCAGCAGCCTAGCTTTTAGATGTGGTCTCTCATCCAGGTATTGACCTGCTTAGCTTCAGTGGCCGACCATGTGAGAGTTGCAGAGAGCTAGCTGCCGGCTATAATAATATAAATAATATGTTTTTGCTAAATTGGTTAGTTCACTATTAAAATGTATATTTGACTTTAAAGAAGAGAAATCTCCAAGCTAGACTAAAGTTTGCCAGGGACAACCTAGAGAAAATTAATGAATACAGAAAACATGTCCATTGGTTGGATGAGACGAAACCATAGACTGTAAAATATATGGACGAAGTGTCCGTGACGTCACCCATTTTTAGGCCTACAGCTAATCAATATGACAGATTCTGGAGTGCATTGCAGCTCTAAATATAAATATAAATGATCTTAAATAAAACAAATACATGTATAGAGATGGTATATAAGTATATAACTTTACTCACATGGGAAAAGTAGGCAGCGTGAATGGTTTGTGAGCACAATTAAGTGCACAAAGCATTCCATATCATCTGATAATTGTAGAAAACAAGTCCAAAAGGCAGTTGACTGTATTAAGCCACATAAAACAACATAGAAATACGATGAATATGCCGAAATCAGTGGCTAATCTGCCAGATTCAGCTGAGGTGAAGTGACGGCGACCAGCGAGACCTAGCCGTCACTCAAGTGGCCACGCTCTTAATTATGCAAACTTAATATAATTTAATATAGAAAAAGATAAAGAAACGGATGAGTTATAAAAAAATTCACCCCCCTCAAAGTTGTCAAGTAGGGTAATATTAGCTGTATGAACCAAAATCTTTTTTTGTACCAGGCTGTAAATACCTTTTTTTCTGCTGTAAAGTTGGCCATTCTAACAGTGAACTCAATTGAAATTTGCTCTATTATGGAGCCAGGACCGGCCAGGACTAGCAGAATTTCGATGAATTGCAGCTTTAGTTACTTCCGTATTGGCTTCCTGAGGGAAAGCGGGAAAAGCACGTTTCTCCCTTTTGTTGGTTGGGAGGGAAACAGGAAATGTTGTGCTATGCATAAATAAATAAAATTAAAGACTTAAAACCTGTTAAAGTGAAAAGTTAAATCCGTTTTGTACTATAAAATGTATAATGCAAAACACTTAAGTCTTTCTAGAAGTTTTCTACTGCGGCTGACCTTTATTGTGTTTATTGGTGTGTTCAGCTTGAGCTTTTACACCAGCCAGACTGATTCACTGCAGAAACTGCTTACTGCTAATGTGACCAGGTGCTTTTATAAACATACTTTATACTCTATGAACATATTAGTCAGTGTAAAACTAGTTAAAATGTGTAAAAAAAACTTTTTTATTCTGATTTTCATAGAAAACAGTATAATTGCAACTGCAATCAAATCATCTGATAAATGTAATCGCTCTTGACTCAGAAGCCCTCAAAATGGAAATTGCCCTGCAGCTCAAGCATAATTTCTTGAATGAAATCTCCTTATAAAAACTCTGAATAAAATGCATGTTTTTAAAATGTATAGATGTTAAAATGCAACAAAAAAAAAAAAAAAAAGAGAGAAATAAAAGCAACAAATGCCATGGAAGCACCATTTTGTTGCTGTGGCTTACAGCAAAGCAGACTAGAGATACCATCTGTGCTTTCTGTCAAGCATGGCCAAGAGCTGTGCTATTAGTCCAGCTAAAGCTTCTCTGTGGCGTTTTATTCAATTTAAACGTAGGATGAAGCTCCTTATCAGGATAATGGGAATGATTTTCAGGTTAGCTGTTAAGAAAGGATAATTCTGCGATCTGGGGATCTGTACACATGACCTATAATGGCTGAAACATTAATTGATTTATATCTTGCCTAATACCATTGCATTTGGCTTGATTTTCTACTAACCGATGGAAAAAGAAAAGAAAAATCTAAAAGTTAACATTGTTTAATACAGCAGCTAAAGATCAAGAGACCTGCTTTAAAAACATACTCTAGAGGTTTGTTTACCTCTGTCTGCTGATTTTTTTTCCTGCAGCATCTTTGACTTAACCCATGACCAAAGTACCATATGTGACCCTATACTAAAAAAAACAGCTAAAAGTGTCAATTTTTTTGTAATTGAGGTTTTATGCTTTAACAAAAACAAAAATGCAAATGAAGTTGCTAATTTGCATTACTAATTTAAACCAGTTTAATCAGTTTTGATTTATTTACAGTGCAAAATTTGCAAAATATAATATATGGGTATTTTTCAGTTATGGGTTGCAGCTGAAAAAGCATACGCTGCATAAAACATATGCCAGAATATTTAGTGGTTCATTCTGATGTGGCGACTTCTTTTAAATAAGGGGCTAAGCTGAAGAAAAATTAATTAATTATCGTAGAAGATAATCTTTAGTCAATATTTCAATTCTATTGTAGTCCAGGGTGAAATATATGGCATTGACATTGAACACAACATAATTTTCATCAAGATTCAGAAGCCTTTTCGTTACCCAAAGTAAAACTCTAGGGTTTTTTCTTATGAACATTTAAATGAATGCCACATAAGGGGTAAGCCATGTGATCATGTTGTGGTTCATCATTTACTGTAGAGCTCCTGTAGCTTTGAAAAAAGCTAACTAATAATTACTTAAACACTTTTTATTCTCACAGGCAATGCAGTTTGTTGCGTGTTTGTAGACCATTTTCATTATCACCTGCCTGCCTCTCTCATTAGGCTAGATATAAGTTAGTCTTATCTCTAATGCTGACTGTGGCCTTTGTAATGAACTGCCGAAGAACCCTTCCGACATTGCAGTTACACATAGCTGTAAGCAGATTTTAGTTGAGAATTATTTTAAATTGTGTCAATCTTAATGGCTTGGTCGGCGTCAAAGTTATAGAATGATTTATTTGAAATGGCTGATTCATTTAGAAATGTCAAATCTTTTTGAAATCAGATTAAAACCTGGTTTATATTTCTGCATCAAGTGTTTGGCGTGACCCATGGTGCATGCCTTGCTCGTTTCGGTGCATTTATACTTCTGTGTGCTGTTTGTGTTGCTCTGTTATAACACGATTCGCACAGAAAGTCAGCTTTAGAATGACATGGAGATTACTAAATTGTGACAGCATTTAATCTTTAAAATTGTTGCCCATATTTATTTGTTTGCTAATTTGAGTTTTTTTTTTTAACTGGAATTGCTTCTGACAGAATGGGAGCATCTGACAACATCTCCAGAGGCAGAAGCACCTTTATGGAGGAGCTTCTGGAAACGTCAGATGTTTTGGCTTGTGCCACATCCCGTTCCCTGGTCATCCTGGATGAGTTGGGTCGAGGCACCAGCACTCACGACGGCATTGCCATTGCCTACGCCACGCTGGAGTCCTTCATCAGAGAGGTTAGTGATACTGAAAGACTTGTTGGTACACTTTAGGTATTAGCAAAAATAAGTGTAAATCTACAATAATGTGACGTTTTCATTTGTTATAAAGATTATTATTAACGCAGTTCATCCACAGTGACTTGTATTTACTAATCGAGTGATAGTCCTTGTTCTGCAGCCTGTGATTAGATCCTGCTTGGGCTACATAGTGGACAGTGATTTTAGTAGTTTCCAGGACACTCCCATGTCCTTAAAGGGATAGTTGATCCAAAATGAAATCATTTACTTACTGTTCACTTGTTTCTGTTGAACACAAAATAAGTAATTTTGAAAAGTGTTGGAAACCTGAAGCATTGATTTCCACAGTATTTGTTTTGCCTACAATAGGCAGGGTTAGAGAGGGTTACTGGTTTCAATTTTTTTTTTTTTCAAAATATATTCCTTTGTGTTAAACCAAAAAAATGGAAACTTGTAAAGGTACACTACAAAACCACTTGAAGGTGAGTAAATTTTTTATTTTTGGGTGAATTATACATTTAACCCAATATTGTGTTGCAAGTCAAGCCAATCAATCTGCTGATATTTTGCTAGTTGGAGAATATTAGCATCAGTCTTATCTAGTTTTGTTTTAGGACATGTAAATATATTAAAGATGTATAGTTTCCCTATCTTAGATCAGTGGACACTGTAGGATTTGTGATACAGAAGTTTGTCAGACAGTGTGAATGTGTTCTCAGCTATAAGTTTAACAAGTGAATTTCAATTCTATATGGACATAAACACACAAAGAAGCTTGTTTAGAGACAGACTGGGTAATTTTGTACAATGTTTATATGAATTGATAGCTTTATTTATATGGAATCCAGAAATCATGGATTTAAAGAAAAATGAATGCTGTCAAAATTAGCACGTTAACGCATGCGATTAGCTTGAAGTATTTTACACTTAAAGTCAATTACCATGTTTGCAGTTTTGTATTTCCTGTTGTAGCCGTTGTGCAAAGAAATATAAGTAAGACCAAGGAAGGACTTTTAGACGGAAAGTTTCAGTATAAAACAATTAACGATAACGTCGTTGTGTCAAACTAGTTTAAGCAGTTTGATGACCGTTATCATGCATGTTAGTGAATCTGAAGGGAGTTGCTCATCGTATGCGCTGTACGGCAAGCGGTGCCTATGTGCGTGCATTTCCTAGCAATAAGAACAAACATCGCCAACGGTGTCTTTATCCCTCAAAATTGTTTTGAATTAAATGTTTTGCGATGGTGTGACTAAAGTCCCTTTTAAACATTCTATAGTCTGTGGTGTGACACAACGCGTACCTATGTGTGCCTTTGATGTACCACTTAAGGCTTCTTATGTGCTTGTCGCAGGTTTCGGTACCCAACCCTACCCGTGAGAGAATATTCTTACTTTCAATTCACATCAATCCAAATAAAAGAGCCACATTGTCCCTAATAATGTCAACAGAGTGGTCTGTCTCAAATTTTAACTTTCAGCAATACAACTTTTCAACGAGTACAATTGTTTGTAGGCTGCACGGTGGTGCAGTGGGTAGCACAATCGCCTCACAGCAAGAAGGTTGCTGGTTCGAGCCTTGGCTGGGTCAGTTGGCATTTCTTTATGTAGTTTGCATGTTCTCCCCGTGTTAGCGTGGGTTTCCTCTGTGTGCTTTATTTTCCCCCACAAGTCCAAAGACATGCGGTACAGGTGAATTGGGTAGGCTAAATTGTCCGTTGTGAATGAGTGTGAATGAGTAAGCAGGAAGGGCATCCGTTGCATAAAAACATATGCTGGATAAGTTGACAGTTCATTCCGCTGTGGTGACCCCAGATTAATAAAGGGACTAAGCTGAAAAGAAAATGAATGAATGTTTGAAGGATTTGTTTGTATTCATTACTTTATTATTATAATTTTCCAATTTCCATATTTGCAATGCCTGTATTTTGGTATTTTTATAGTCCGCTTAGCATCCAACATGGAAGTCATTTTTGTTTTTTATTGGCCTTGGATTATTTTCAAATTCAAATGGCACTTGTTTTTATGTCTGTAACAAATATGGCTTTCAAGCCAACAGTTTGATGATCCTGAGGTTTATTGCAGGTATGTTGTTTACATGAATTTAATAAAATTCTAATAAACAGTCCTATTTCGAATTTACATAGTTTCTTTGTATCGAGTTAACATTGTTCCATTTTACATTTAAATAGCCAAAATCACAACTTCTTCTCAAGTCTTTTAATTGCGATTAGTTAGTAAATTTTTTTAATAGATTGACAGCATTAATTGAAATAAAATTACAGTTAAACACAATGGGCTCTATCTTGACGGTCCATGCGCAGAGCGCAGAGCGCAAAACGCAGGTCGCAAACGCTTTCAGGGCGTGTCAGAACGCATTTTTGCTAATGTACTGATGGGAAAATCCGCTTTGCGCCAAGGCGCATGGTCTAAAAGGGTTGAGTTTATTTTCTTAATGAGTTATAGGTGTGTTTTGAGAATAAACCAATTAGAGTCTCATCTCCCATTCCCTTTGAGAGCCAGCTGCGTTGCGCCATAAGCGCATTCGCTATTTACAGGACGTAAAGTCTAAGTGGAAAAACTGAGCATTTCACTAGCAAATTTAACAGTCAACAGTTAACAGTTTTTTTAAAAGAAAACTGTTAAACAGAGCATCTACTGCGTGAGAATGAGAGATAATGGATCACTTTCACTTTCGCTCTTGGATAGGGAAACCTTTACGCACAGACATGAATTAGTCTATAAATAATTAATCGCGTTTGTTAAGCGCAAATATTCGTTTCAAAACTATTTCTAAATTCAGTTCTAATTTCCAGCAAACGAATAAATGAACAATATTAACGAAGTGTGCTCAAAAACCTGAGTTATATCCTAAAACACATGCTGTGCCCCTTATGGTCTAAAACCTGACAGGTGGGCAAATCTAAGCTTGTTTTTAATAAAACAAATATAAATATGGATATAATAAATAATACTGCTAATACTAATAACATTATACAAAAGCAAATTGTTATGAATGAACTGAAAAAGCCTCCCGAGATGAAGAAGACATAAAAGCAGTGATTTTTCATATTTATGTAGGCTAGAAAATAATATGTTTTGTAATATTTTAATCCTTTATATTTATATCCTATATCTATTCTTATTATATCCTATATATATCCTTAATATTAAATTTTTTTTCATATGTAAAGATATTTGCCTATTGCTCTCTTGTGTGTATTTAAAAGTCTGTAAGAGAGGCGCAACTCTGCGTCAGAGTTTAGACCAGGTTTGTTTTGGTCTAATGAAAAATCTATTTTAGTTTCTCAAAATAGCGACGCACCAGCCGTGCGCCTCAGAATGCCTTCCTTTTTTTAGACCAGAACGCCTATGGACGCACATATGAGCGCTAATGCATTTGCTATTTAAACAGCGTAGCGCAACGCCTCAAAACAACTCTTGCGCCAAGCTGAAACTACCAAACAAGTATTGTGCCGCGCCTTGCGCCACATTGCGCCGAGTGTATGATAGGGCCCAATATGTTGCAGTTAACAATATCATAGAGTCTGTGTTGAACTCTGATAACAGAGTTTCTGAGTTGGGGATGCATTGTAGGCTGATTTATAATTGTAATTGTCACTAATTGTGACATGACGTTCTGTACTCCTATTGGTTCTTGATTTGACATTAAGTGTAGGACAAGCCACACTGTGTTTTGAAACTCCAGACACTGGCAGAATTTCATCAGAAGGCTGTACAAATGTCAAAGTGGTGATCAAAGGCCTCTAGATTTTGGCCTTGGATGAGAGAAATCTTTTAAGATATGCAAAACCTGAATCCTTTTATGATGGGCAAAAGCCTGGCTTTTTAGGCATATATATTTATACATATTATATATATATATATATATATATATATATATATATATATATATATATATATTACTTATTATTACTCCTGTGCTTGAGTAAAACATTAATAATTGTTTTATTACTCAGGATGCACTCAAAAAACATATTCTATAGCTTGTTCAAACTACCTGTTTAAAATGAGTTAAAACAACCAATTCATGAGTTTTTTTGGGGGACAACTTAATTATTTTATGTTCAGTATACTTATGTTAAATCTACTAAATCATTATGTTAACTTAACTGATTTTTGTTGGGACAGTATAAATAAATTGTGTGGAACCCTGCAACTTTTACAGTGTACAAATGACATTTCTTTCAAATTTGAATTAAAAAATGCCCATGCGTTCCTTACCAAAAACAGCAGATTTATATCATCAGCTCACTAACAGAGACTAAAAGACCTGTAATGGGTGTAACAGGTAAAGGAGACATCCAAGACATGCAGTGCTGGTGGTCCTCCAGGAACGTGGTTGAGAAACACTCATCTAAATGACATTTTTTTAAATAAAAAAAATATCATCAGTACACTGTAAAGATTGCAGGGTTCTGCATAATTTAATCATGTTCAACATTTAGAGCATTTGTTCTTGCATAAAATTTAGTTTATCTTCATTTTTCTTCTTTCATGTTTTTCATTTTTGGTTTTTATTAAGTTCAAAATTGTTTTTAAAATAGCTGCGTCTCTCACTGATGGATAGGCCATTAAAAGAAAGGCGTCACTACCTTGATATGCGCTGAATACTTTGAAACTCCAGTGTGCATTAGTAAATTGTAGATATAAAAGAGTACTTAAAGTCACAATAGAACTTCCACAATAGATGAAAATAAAATGACATTGTGAGGAGACAGCTGTGTTTAACATAAGCTCATGAACGTTTGCTCTTTCTCTACTCCCCAGAAACTCGCATGACTGGAATCACAAGATCCAAAATTACACCTACAGTAGTTAAAAGTGTGAACATCATTAAACATTCACAGTTTTAATAACAGTTCTGTGGCACCTGGAAGCATTTGAAAATATGACGCGCAATATGTCACAGTAGGTGCAATTCTAAAAGTAATTAAAAACGGTTTTTCTTCCAACAGCTATGAGGACAAAAATTCT